ACAGGGGGCCAAGGGAGAGCACTAAGGGAAAGAAGGGGAGAACACGGAGGAACAGGAGGGAAGGGGAAACCAATCATTGACAGGAGGGGAGAGCACTATGGAAAAAATTTAAAAAATAAATAAAGAGCTGCTCCCCACTCAGTCCCTATGCTACCCCACAAACCCTCTCTTTTACACTACACACATACACAATGCACCCGCCCCCACACACACATCCTCTACAATAACACATAAAACATCCCCTTCACACATACACTCCACTTCCTGTGAGAGAACTCACGGGTGGGCCATGTAGGTGGATTTATGGGTGGGCATTGTAGGCATATTCACGGTCAAGCCCTGGGGGCCCAGACCTTGAGCTGTGTAAGGGGCCCTAAAAAATGGAGCTGCTTCCTGTTCGTTAATTGTTGTGAGCACTGTTAAAAGCAGTCTCCAGAGAGCCTCTTCTACACCAGACCTGTGGAGCCAGACTGATCCCATCATCATACTCTTGTCCTCATCTGGTGGTAAGAAGGCAATCCAATATATTATTAGTGGCACTAATCTCTAATTTACCTCACATTAAATGGATACTATAGTCACCAGAAGCACTACAGCATAATGTAGTGGTTCTGGTGTCTATAGCCTGTACCTGTAGGCTTTTTAATGTAAACACACTGTCTTTTCAGATCAAAGACACTTTGTGAAGACTGGCTTTCGGCCCATATGGCAGAGTATATGGGCGGAGCATTGTGATGTCACATGGTGGGCAGGACATATGGGGGTGGAGGTGGCAAAAATCCTTGCACCGGCCCTGCCCAAATCCCCCCCCCAGTAACCGGATGAAACACAGTTCTGGCAGTCAACTGACGATTTTATTCACAAGCTCCAGTATTTATGTGGTTCCCCATGCAAGGGGTTTCCTTACTGACTTTACAGGGGTTGTACAGTAGGGGACTACATGGGGGACTTAACATACAGAACATTTCTCCCACCATGCACTGCTGTACGAGAGGGATACTCCCACTAGAATACCCAGTTAAGTGGATTATCCCTCCGTGCAGCAGAACTGGCTTTTCACATAAAAATCCTTAACTTACATATTATTCGTGCCATTGTACCGAAGGACCATTCAGCAGATAGCTGGGGTCTAAGCGCATACTTCGTGAAAGTACCGCTCAGATCCCAGCACAATCAGCCGAACGTTGCACAAAACGAACGCCGCACTCTTTAAAGTCATGAATACACAAGTAGGGAAAAAGACCGGCGCTCCCGAACAGCCTGGAAGTCCAGCGGTGTTCGTGCCATCGAGTAGACGATTTTAGTTCCAGGCACTCGACGACCAAACAACGCTGGGCAAAAAGGGAATCCAAGATGGCCGCCGCCTCGTGGTATTGTTGCAATCGGTTAATGAACGCTACACGACTCCCTGTGTGTGGGCTCCCATTCGGTACTTTGTTCGTTTCACGAACAGTGTTGAAAATCAGTGTTCGTGAAACTACCATATGAATGCTAGCGGTTTTCGTGCCACTAGCATTCGAATTCCCTCTTGCACATTTTAAACAAACACATCAAACATCATATTTAAACCAGTCTTTCTAGGGCAACCCTCAAAGATAAACAAAATAGTTTGAAGTGGCTAGGTTTGCCACAATCACAAAGGACTTCGACCTAACTTTTAAACCAATGGAAGGAATGGAAGTTTTGCTGGACCTCAAAGGGATCACATGGGAGTACAACTGTTTTCTTGTTCTGAATGTGGGCAAAGTTTGTTTGCGTAAGATTTTTTTTTATAGTGGGGGTTTGCTGTGTTTTATAGGAGTGTATTGATTAAATAAAGCATTATTAACATGATTCTTAAACAGCTTGCTAAGCAATAAGCAGCATAAACGAAAACGAATTAAATTGGAATGTATTATTCTAGATGTCTTGACATTCTTAAATCTGTCAATAAATATTACCCCTTAGATGTTTCTTGGTTTATTTTATTTCATTTTGATAAGGAAGTGATACAACATAAATAACAAAAATAGTCAACTCAGAGAAAACAATAAGGCTGGCTAATGTGTGTTCATTCGAATTTTTAATAGGTAGATAAAGTTAAGCGAAACTGTTCTGTTACTTCTCTTTAGATTATACCATAATAAAAAAAATTATATAAATCAAGCCCCTTCCTACCCCCCATGAGCAACATTTGATTGAGAACAGAGTTTGACTCGGTTCTCAACATGGAATCGCTTCTAGTGGCTGTCAGGAAGATAGCCACGAGAGGTGTGTTTAGAGGTGTCTTCTACAAAACTGCAATGTTTTACACTGAAGTAGTCTCTGTGACTTTAGTGGTTCTTTAAGATGCAAGGAGAAAGCCACCATCAGACAATTCTCATTGATGAAGTTGTGGGCCCTAGTGGACCTCCAAAAGAGTATATTCTAGTGTGACAAGGGGCTGGGCATTGGAGGAGGCTGAGGATGTCTCTGCTGCTGCTGTCATGATGGGCCTTGAATATCCATGCTGCCAGAGTTCTTACCCAGCCAATGCTTTTATGCCCTTTGTACTGGGCCACGACCAGACTTCTGGCCGAGTGTGAGTTCCAAGACAGTCGGCACGTATGCCTGCGGTGTAATCAGATCACTCCTGGTTAAAATTATGCATATGTATGGTGGAAAAAGGGGTTCTCCACTGTCTGGAGGCTACAGGGACATAGAGAGGTGGAGGTAAGGTGCGGGGTAGCTATTTTGAGAGGGAGTACTGCACCAGTTGTTTGTGCTGTCAGAACAGGCTCTGACACACTTTATATATAGAATTAAAACTGGATACATTTAAGCCATTATTATTATTATTTACATCAGACATTAGTATTCAATATTTCATAGCGGCTTTCGAGTCTAAGATTTGATCGAGTACCAAAATCATCCTTTGTAATGTGCTGTATAATCTCTTCCCTTTTTTTTTCCTTTAGTTTAATTTACAGTTAAATTCGTTATCGTTCTACCCAGAGAAAAATAAATAAATAATAGTGTATTGATAGTACTTTCCCCGACAGTCTGTCTGATTCAACTGACTAGTTTAGATGTCCGTAGGAAAAAAAACCAAAAAACAAACAAATCCAACAAGCATTTCATCAAGAATCACCATTCACATTATGTATACCAAATTTAAAATAGGAAGGTAGGGATATGTAGGGAGTTCCCTGTAACAACCATTCTAAATTAAGCATTCTCCTATGGGTTCCATATTCTGGATGTGCATTGGATTGGAAGATCATGGGGATAGCTGCCCATATGCTCTATAAAAGCATTGCAGACCAAGCAATCCGCCAATCCAGTTCCTCTCTAAATATCTCAGAAATAGCTGATCTGGAAAAATTCTCCAGTACAATCATAGTCAATGCGCAGAGGTGTACCTAGGGTCTCCAGTGCCCTTGGCGAGAAACCATATCTCCCCCCCTTCCCCACCCCCGATACCCTTCTCTCTATATGAAACCACTACAAGCAGAACTCCATCAGCTAGTGCACATGGAATCGCAAATCTTCTTATACAATGCTTTCCCAATGATAGGGTTTGCTCTAATGCTGCATTTCCTAAACCAGTCCCCAAGACCCACCAACAGTCCAGGTTTTGTTAGTATCTCCATTGGAATAAAACAGGGAAATACATAAATTCTGGACTGTTGGTGGGCCACGAGAACTGGATTGGGAACCACTGCTTTAATGAATCTGTTATCAGCTTTAAATCATAAATATATATTTACACTTTGGTGATGATGGTGATGTGCCAGTGGAATGCTTGTCACCATATTGCAAGACTAACACAGGCACATCACACCATATTAGTGCCGAAATCCGGGGGCTGGCTGCACTCACCTGAAAATGCATAAATAGGGTGCTGCTGGGAGCCAATTTATACAATAAAAAAGAGAAAATCCAGCGCACTCCCTTATCCACTAAACAGCAACTTCGGTGCTGACAGATTTTTTAGTTTTTAAAAACACCTAATCTAGGCAAAAAATAATGCCCAGATTAGGTGTTTTTAAAAAAAAAAAAACTAAACCCATAATTTTTTGCCTAGATTAGGTGTTTTTAAAAAAACTAAAAAAAGTCTGTCCGCACCGAAGTTGCTGTTTAGTGGATAAGGGAGAGCCATTTACCATATTAGTGCCGGACTGGGGATAAGACCAGCCCTGGAAATAAAAGCAGGCCCATAGCATTGCGTCATTATACCAGCCCCATCTATATTCTTGTTCAACGAATAGTAACCTTTTTAAAGTACATTTGAAGAGTGTATTATTATTTATAGACATGACTTGATATATACCCCTTCCCAGGGCAATATATGTCATCAGTATTTACACAAGGTGATACCGCACACATTGCCCTGATATATACCCCATGCACAGGGCAATATATAGGCCCCAGTATGTACACAAGGTTATTTGAATTGCTCTGTGCATGGGTATATATCAGGGCAGTGTGTGAGACATAACGCTTTGTTTATAGTGGGGGAATATATTAACTAACCCGAGCACACAGATTGCACTCACAGGACTTGCTACAGCAACCAGGACTTACCCCAACACTGAGATTGCACTCGTGGAACTTGCTCCAGCACCCAGGACTTACCCCAACCAGGGCCGGACTGGCCCACTAGGATACTGGGAAATTTCCCGGTGGGCTGCGGCATCTGGGGGCTGCGCTGCGCATGTATGTGCCACTGGTTGGCCAGTCCGGTGGCACACTCTGAGGGGGCTGGCCAGCATCCACGTTCCACGCTAGAGCCGAAACTCCTGTCACTAATGCTGAGGACTGAAGGAGGAGGGAGGAGCATGTCTATCATACTCCCTTGCGGTTCCCACAATTCCCAGCACAGTATTCACAGTATGCCGTGCTGGGAATTGAGGGAACCGTGAGGGAGCATGGTAGAGAGACATGCTCCTCCTTCAGTCCTCAGCATCAGTGACAGGAGTGCCGCCGGACTGGCGAGGCTGCCACCCGGCCCAGGGGCTCCAGCGTGGAATGCGGTCGGTGTAACGGACTGTTTTGCACACAAGAGGTTAAAAACCGTTTAGGCGATATTCCCCTTTCAGATGCACAGACAGCTACTGCAAGCACCAATCTCCCGAACTGCAAACTACACGAATTCTCCAACTCCTGAACAGGAAACTCACGAATACTGGAAACAGCTGAACAGGAAAAGCATACAATCAGCTTACACTCCTGGCAATCAAACTGGAACAGCATACAATAACTCCTTCCCCAATAATGAGACGACACTTCACTTTGAGGGTTAAGCAGGAACTCTCTGTAATGGCCACACACTGGCTTTTATGCAAGTCCCCATGCAAGGGGACATCCCACAGGGTGGGACACAGTACAACCAAACGTTACAGGGGAACCGTAAAACACACCCACAATTACATCACAATCCCTCCTCTCTGTCCTGGAGATAATTGTGAAGTAATCAAATTATCTCCAAGGACAGAGGCAAAACTCCATTAACCACATGGCAGACAAAGGACAATAAAAGACATAAAATTACACACAGTTACATTTATTCCATAAAACATAGACATTCTACATATCCCCAGATAGCTCAGATCTGAGTGCACATTACTACCGAATGGCGCTCAGATCACATACATACAGTTCAAT